TAAAAAAAAAAAAAAAAAAACACTACATGCGACCCATCATAAGTTTCATTAACAGTAGTCATAAGTTCATAACCTTTATGCATAGCAACAGAATAATTCAAATTATTTACTATACCAAGAGGACATTGGCATCCACAGTGGTACTCATAGTGTTTAGAAGTGTTAGAAGTTCCTATATTCAGCTAGAGATTCTATATATATATTATTTCGTAAAATAATTTACATTCATAGTGTTTAGAAGTGTTTAGAAGTAAGTCCTCAACCCATACTTTTTGCGGAGCTTCTCATCATCCCGACACCTTGTGAATATTTCCGTCAGCTCCGTTACAGCTACACAGTATGCGATTATTATGCTCAGGCCCCCCCTGCCAAAAGAGAGAAAAAGGAAGAAAAAAAAATCTCAATTTGAATGGCAATGCTTGTGAAACAATTCTAACAGCCATAACATTTGAACGAAAAGCTCCAAATTGCGAAAATAATGTAAAAGACAACCTTACAATAAGCTCACTATTTCCACCTGCGGTTGCACAAGCAAAGTGGGTATCACTTCTAATAAGAGCCATTCGCTCTTGAGTAGTCTCTGTACCTACCAGATCTTGAGTTCTTCTCGCATGATACCCAATCATGCCGTGGCACCACGGGTCCTGTAAAAAAAAGAAATGATTTTGTTTTTAACGAGATTTGTTATCATGCATGTACTTTTCTAGTAATTGGTGAACCACTGAACCAAAAAGGAACACATACCTCTATTTCCTTATACAGCTCAGCGACAAAAGCATCATTCGCAAACACTTGCTTCACCACATTTTTAAATTCTTCAGCATCACCGCTAATATTTTCTCTTTTAAGAATCTCTAGAATGTTTTCAAAAAGTTCTACAAGCGGACCTTCTCCTTCTAGTCTCGAAGAAACGTTTTTGAAATTTTGATGCTACAAACATGCACAATTTGTAAGTTGAAAATTTTAAAATGTTTTACTGTCCACTAAATAGTAAGATCACCTGTGGTGCACGGAAGTGAACTCAGTAGAGAACAGTGAGTGACTAAGTAGCGAAAAATATAAGAATTAATGACACGAAATGCAAAAGTTACGGCAAGAGTTCAAGCAGCATGTATTTGTAATTTCAATTGATAAACAGATGAACATCACTTTCTAAGTGACATACTAACCCCAAGCTTGTCCTAATCGACGACTGGATACACATACATACTACAAAATGCATATTGCCAACAAAGATTAAACAATGGAAAAGGCAGGAACTACACGGTTGATACACACACATCTCAAAAAATAGGCTGTTCATGTGCGCTTACAATTCATAACAAGAAAAGTTTTCTATGAAAGTACTAATCAGAATAGCATTTACAAATAAAAAAACAAAAGAAAAATACACCAAACTAGATAAACATTAATTCCCCTTGCAGAATTCATTCTCAAATCTAAAGCAATAATCCAATTGAAAAGTGAACTACAAATCAATGGGAAACCTTTTTCATCAACACATGTTTATGGACATTCCATTCCCTAAAATAGTGGCAGCAGTAGATTTCAATGCACTATCATTAAGTTAATTGGTGTTGCCTTCACTATCAGAGGAAAGGAAAAGAAGTCGATGCCCATACCTCAAAAACCTTTAGAATGTGAGACCAATACTGCAAATAGGACGACTAAAATAAGTAAAGAATCACCCGGCAAAAGATGAAAATATCAAAATTGTCCAAATTGGAATCATCCTTACTATCAGATCCTCGTCCGAAACAACGTCATTGACAGAATCATCACGATCCTCATCATTATCATCATCATCATCATCATCAATGGCATCAGCAGGTCTCTTCAACGATTTTTTATCCCCCAAATTCTTGCCCTCTGCATCCATTGCCTTTACCAAATTCTTGACCTCTTCCTTGAACCCTCCATCCTCTGCATCAATTGCCTTCGCATCCATTTAGTTAACCTACAATTGATAAGATAATGGTTCATTTACAAATCAAATTGATAAGAGAGAGACTCAGAGAGATTGAAACACACGGAGAGAGAGAGAGAGATAACTAAATCGAAGCATTCATTAACAAAAACACGAAGAGTTTCAACAGAAAAATATGGTACGAAAATTAGGATTTGCCTTGTGATTGCAATCTGTGCTATCAATGGAATTCTGATGAGGGAGCCTCTGGAAAATCGAAAATTAGGTTAACAGTGCAAAAGAAAACGAGACTTATAACCGTGCAATTTGAGGGTAAATCTCCTAGCACCAATGGGCATGGAATGTTGAATGGGCCATCGCCAAGGCCTACGGCTAACTTGTGGCCCTAAACCCTAAAGCTAGCGGCTCCGGAACTAAAAAGGGGAACGGAGTAGATGTGGGGAAAGAGATAAAAGAGTTTATTGAGGTGGAATACACTGTTGGGATCATCTACTGTCAGGTACCCCTGGTACCTACCTAACATCAGGTACCCTCTTATATCATCATTAGATTGACTCAAAAATCAATATCAACCATTAGATTCAAGGTACGAGGTTGGTACGAGGCAACCAAAATTCTTTTTGCCTCTTACCAATCTCGTACCACCTTGTACTTGTAAAAACCTTTAATACCCTTATATTATTAAAAATTAAAATAAATTATAAAATAATAATTATATTTATTTTAAAGACCTTACATTTATCTAATTTGTATGACAATCCTTTAAATAAAAAACATATCATCTAAACCTTAATTTACGAATTAAAAATCTAACATCAACGTCTTCGTCTTCGTCTTTCATCTTCAGCCATCCTCACTGCTGTCTATCCTTATGGATCTTAAGTGGTTCTCAGAATTGGGCTTTCCCGTACTCCTTTTCACCTTTTATCCTCTGCCCTCAAATTCGTCTTCATTACCTCTTCCCTTCTTTCTTCTTTTTCTTCCAACGATTTACCCCAATTCTCCACCTCCTTATTTCGATACACGGCGGCTGAAGGATGGCTGACCGAATCTCCGTACGGATGACTCTTGCAGCTCAGATCTATGGTGGCCCATCGATAGAGAGCAACAAGCAGCTCCGGGAATCAGGGCGGCGGCGCTACGGGCGTCGTCCAGATCTCGCAGTTGGCCGCAACTCGCGGGTCGAGGCAGGCGCTGGCTGGTAGGCTTGCTGACCGTGTTAATTTGGTTCTATCTAATTTTCGTTAAATTGAACCAATTTCTCTGTATTTTTTATTTTTACTTTTATTTACCGATCTTGTATGGGTCTGACGGGGATCATGGTTGTAGACTCTCATCAAATCGCAAGTGGGCGGAGTACAAGATAGAGAGCGGAAGCGGAAGCAAGCGGAGGTCGAGGTGAGGTGGGAGCTGGAGAACAGAGAGAGGAGGGAGAGAAGCATGAGAGGGATTGCGATACGGATTAGGAATTGAATGTTTGTGGTGAAGAGGCGTGGCAGAGGAGGGCAGCTATGAGCGGTGGCGGAGGAGGTGGCGTGCGGAGGTCTCCATAGCCACCCCCGTGGGGAAACGACAAAGGAAATGGGTTCGACATCGTCAAATTGGAGAGCTGGGGATTGGGGCTGTGGGTGGAAGGGAAGATGACAGTAACATAGAGGATGATGGCGAAAATGGGTTGGAAGGAAGGCCAATTTCGGGAAAGCAGGAACAGGGAATTACGACGCCTCTTGTGGCCAAGAAGACGGATAAGAGAGGTGGGGTTATAGTGAATACCGGTGAGTTGAGCAAGAAGGTGAAGAGCGTTAGTTTCAATGGAACTCCCATCCGAACTGTGCTTCTAAGAAACATGGTATGGATTTATTGTTTTCAGGATTAAGTCTGCTCAACTGGTTATGGTGTTTTTGTCTCCTTAATTAACTTATTGAGCTCTGATATTGTGATATTTGTGGTTGCTTTTGTTTGAGTTAGATTCTTTTGTTGTAGTTGATTATCTCATTTAAAAAAAAAAAGTTAAGACCGATTTCTGTGGAGTTGAGTTGAACACTGGTAGAGATGAATTGTATTGTTGCTATCGTTTGAGTTAGTTGAACAATAAATTGATCATCAATAGAACTATTTCATGGTCCTTGTCTTAATTTGCAAAGCGAAAAATTAAAAACAAATAAAAAAATGATGGATCTTAAATTGTTTATACTACGAAATCTATGTTATTATTTGTTCTCAATGCTATCAATGTTCATTGCATCAAATTATAATGTCATGGAAAAAGAACTACAAAATAGAACCCATCTCCTTTAAAACTTCCTCTATAGTCTTACTACAGATAAGCTGCGCCACATTGTTCAATCTTTCCCTTCTGACATCCGACATTTGGGCAGTTGTAGTTAGGACATTCATCTACAAGCAAAAGGCACACCTCGGATTTCTTTCCTTTTATTGTTAGTTTTATTTTCTTTAGAGCTTACGTATTTTTTATGTACCCTGTTTAATGCTACTTTTCTGCATATTTTTCGGGCTTTGAAAACGTGCAGGTTGATTGGTTATATTATCCGGCCTTTCTGCTCGTCGTGGCCGGGATTTTCTTATACTCGAAAATGTGAGCTTTACCTACATTTCACTAAATTCTCTTGAGTATTTTGGAAATATCCTAAAATTGTAGCAATCATATTAATGGAGATGATATTGTGCACAACGGAGAGAAGGGCCCAGAGAGGAGTCCAGCCATTGAGGATACAAATTTTGACTCAGAATATCAACACCTCATTGGGGAAGAAAATTCAAGTCCTGTGAAATGATTCTGTTTACTAATTCATTAAGAAATTAATGTTTATACTAAGTGGATGATATAAATAATGGATGCAGTTTTTTTTTTTAGTCTGCATATTGGACTTCTTGTTGTAATCCATAAATAAGATTAGTTTGTGTATTGGTTGTTTTCAAGAATATTGGTTCAATTGGATATGCTTTTGCTTTGAAAATCATGAAATTTATTAGTGTGATTAGATATACCTACGAATTTGGTGTATTTGTATTGTACCATATAAACTTGAAAAATAAATGCCAAATAGCAGTATTAACAACAATTTTAAAATTTAAATTACATAATGTTAAAATGTTAAAGTAAACCTATGCGAGTTATTGAAAAACTAGTATGAGTCCCGTGCACTGCACGGGTAAGAGATATTCATTAATATTTATAAATTAAAATTTTTTTATTAAATAATATTTGTAAATTAAAAATATAGAATCATATACCTATATTAGTTTGTTGAAAATATTATATAAAGTTTAAATTGTGAAAAATTACATAAAAATGTCTATTTAAAATTAGTACACAACCCATGCGATACATATAACTGATAATAAATTACATTATATTCGTTTCAAAATAAGTGTCATTTCAAATTTTTATTCAGAAATTCGATTTGACTATAATGTGATTACATAAAACAATTATTTTGGTAAAATTTTATCATATATTTAACAACATATGTGAATAATAATTATAAATATAAAATTTATATCGTTTCATTACTTAAAATAATTTATTTTTGTATAAACTATTCAAATAAAAAAAAATTAAGTAGTTGAGTAATTTATTGAACTATAAATAATTGACTATTTCATTCACGTCCAAGTTAATATTGACCCGTAAGTTATGAATAATTATTTTTTTTATTTTTTATTTTAAATAAAAATATTTTTATTTTTTTATATATTATATACCAAATTTAAACTATGCAACTAATAAAGGTAATAGCTGCAAGTTTTGTCAATATATTATATTTCACATTTGAATTATTCAACAAATAAAGGTAATAGCCGCAATATTTGACCAAAATAATTTTTTACATTAATTACATTAAATTAGGCAGGATTTTTCAAACTTTGGCAAGAAAAAAGAATTGCCCAATTTAGTAATTCTGAATTTTTAGGCGGGAAAACCAAATATTTTTTTATTGATTTTTAGTTACTATTTCAAGTAAATATCATTGTCTTTTTATATATTAATAGATGTCATATTTTTGTAGCGTGCTATGCCACGGGATTTCACGATTTGTTGATTATTAGATATTTAATGATAAATTATTTGAATCAAATAATTTGTTGACATTAACGTGAAAAAAAAAAATATTATTTAGTAGTAAATTTAAATTTATATCATTCATGATATTAAATATTCAATATTTGATTTTATGTTTATATTAAGTACATATTACTTAGGTCACATAATTTCATAATTTTTAATTACTTATTTTGATTAATAATCAAATAATTTATTCCTTTTTCTTTTGAAAATCTAAGGACTCTTTTTTTTTTCTCCCCCAACGAAATGAAATGAGTCTAAAATAATATATAATTGGATGTGATTTACTTGCCAAACATTGGATGTGATTTATTGGTTAATAAATTGTTTAAGCGGGACATGCAAAAAATTTCAAAAATATTTGCTGAAAATTGTTCAAAATGAAAAATAGAAGCGGGAAAAAATGACTAAAGAAGCGGGAAATGAAATATTTTTTTCAAAGTTTTTCAAATAGTTTTTCTTCTCCTTATTATATAGTAATAGATATGAAAATGCAATTAAAAATATGAGAACAATTAAATTTTGAATGTATACATGCTTAATAAATTGAATCGTAAAATAGCATCAAAATAAAATGAGAAATAGATATAACAAGTATTATTACAATTTTAGTGTTCTAATTGATCATCTGACCCTTTATCTATCTACATTTGAAAATGTTGAGCGAAGGACAAAAAAGTGTTATGAAAAATTACTATTAATAAGACTGAATACATAACACTAAGGAATAAACTAAGAAAATGATAAGATAAACAATGAAAAATATTTCAAATACTAGTTCATGATAGTATTAAATGTCACGTTTGTCATAAAGTTTAAATAATTAGTAGAAAAATATTTCTAATTATGAAAATTGATCATAATACCTATTAAAAATATGAATTGAGTAGATTTTGGGAAAATGAAAACTAATGACGCTAATCATTTACTTTATAATTTAAGTAAATAATTTATAAGCTTCTTTTATTTAAATAAATTTTTGTAAGCACTATAATTTACTTTATAATTTATTTAAATAAGCTTATATATTTACATAATTATCTTCTAATAAGTTGAGTTCTTAAAAAAATCTCGAGCTTGTCTTAAATGATTATTTAGGTGAAAATTAAAAATACTCATTGAAAATTTTATTTATCAAGGTATTTTTATAAAAGAAATAATAATATATTAACTAGCTGATAATTTGTTATACGCTTAAAACTAATTTATCAACTAGTACCAATTATCCACATTAATACGCTTATACCGGAATTCATTGATATTTGGATCACTTCTAGATAGTTTTAAATAGATATTTCTAAGGTTAACTTTGTAATTTTGAATTGTACCCGACCATCAAACATTAATTTATTAATATATTTTTTTCATTTTTAATAATATCATCATTACAAATGATATATTCAATGGAGATTTACCTTTTTTTTTACAGTTAAGTAAACTACATTTTAAAATTTTCATTAATATTTAATTATTAATTAAGTTAGTACGATTCAAACATAGTTATTCTGATTATATTATTAAATATTTTAACTACTTTAGAACGGTGAATATCATTAATTAAATTAATATCAACAACCATAGATGATGATATATATAATCAAATCAATTTTTATAATATTTTTTTGAATTATGTCAATAAGTTACTCTGAAATAAATATAAAGATCTTATTGAAAATATATCTAGTCAATCTACGGTCAAAATAATTTTATTTAAGACAATTTACCGCTCATTCTATTTCGAAAAAACGTATATATGATTGAGTCGTCCGACGATTCAACAAATATTTCGTATGTAATATGAGATCTAGAAGAGATCCAAATTTATCGATAAATCCCGGTATAAGTGTATTAATGCAAGTACCAAATTCGTCTATTGTCTTATTGTTTTAATTTTCTTTTTCGTCTTTTTCAAATCCGAAATCTCAACCTCGAAATAGCATAATACTTTTTCGTAATCTTGTTGGCAAGATCAACCGTGAACAAATTGTATGTAAACATATAATACATGAATATAACAAATTTTATTTTATTTTTCAATATATATAACGTTCATTCTATTTTGAATAAACGTATATATGATTGAGCATTCCGACGATTCAACAAATATTTATGGTAAGTTGTAGCAAATGTAGTTAGAAACTATGGAGTTAATTGATACTAGTCGATGAGCTAGTTTTAAGTTTAAAACAACTTATCAACTAATTATTATATTATTATTTCTCTTATAAACATACCTTAATAAATAAAAATATCAATGAGTATTTTTACATTAGCATAGCTTTTTTTAAGAGTTCAACTTACTAGAAGATAATTATTAAAATATAGAAGCTTATTTAAATAAATTATAAAGTAAATGATAGTGCTTACAAAAATTACTTTGTTTATTTTATTTTATAAATGTCAATGATTAAATATAAGTCTATATTATTATTATTATTAATGTGTGTTTATTTTCTCAATAATTTTTTAATTATTGAAAATTATCTTCCAATATCAATTACCTACCTTTGGAAACCAAAATAATTGAAATAAGCGCCATTTTTTAGAAAGCAAAATATTAGGCGGCAATATCCCTTTTGGCTTTTGAGGTCTGAATCTGATCCATAGACCAAGGCAGTGAAGGAGACATTCAGTCGAAAATTTTTGATTCATTCCTTTGTAGAAAGCCGCCGAAATATGACGAATGTGATATTACACTTCGAGTTGAATACCGGCGCGACGGTTTCCTTAGTCGGGCTCGATACGTGGCAGGTGGAGCCCGGCCTCGTTGGCCAAGCTGTTTCAACAGCTATCAAGGTCCGTGTATAGGTTTCTGTATACATTTTTTAGCAATTTTTGTTTCATTTTGGAGTCTCACTCGATTTTTTTTTTATTTTTATTTTTTAATTTTTGGGTGATCCTAAATGCCATCACTTTAGTACTATTTTTATCTTTCATTTTGATATTCTGTTGTGTGTGGGTGGTTCCAAATGTTGCCATTTTAGAGCTATTTTCTTCAATTGATGGGTGGTCGGTTTAGAAATGAGTTGCTCATGATCCGAGTTGAGATCTGCTCGTTAGGCTAGAAAAATTGGGTTTTACATAGTTTTATGAACTTTTAACACAATTCAGCTAGTTTCGAAATGAGCTGCTCATGAGCCGAGTTGAGATTGTGCTAGTTAAAGGCTCGTTAGGCTTGAAAAACTGGGAGTTTACATAATTTTAAGAACTATTAACAAAATTCGGCTAGTTAAGATAAATGATCGGAGCTCGATCTTGAGCTCTTTTAAGCATCGTCATATGGAATGTGCTCGATTTATTAATCAGATTTTATGAAACTGATTAATTTCTTGTACTTATTCTCATTGCCATTTGGTTATCGTCATATTGACTGTGCTTGAGCGTACGACAATGTAAAGGAGCTAAGGTATTGTTTCTGATTTTTGCTCCATGCCCTTAGATTCTCCAGATGGGTTTACTTTTAATTGATTTGAGCCTGAAACATGTGTTGTTTCATATTTGGTGCTGCAGGTAATCTGCACTAGAAGATTGTCTGTATTTATATTCACAGGAGTGGAATGTAAATTTGGTCGACTTTTGTATTACGAAATTTATTCATTTAGATAATTTTCAGTGTCTAGATAAAGAAAGTGTCTAGATAATTTTTTATTTTTTTCTTTCTTTCATGTTCTGCAGGTGATGTAGAAGATGAAGAGCAAACATGTAGCAAGCACCATCACCTAGAAGAAGGAAAGTAATGAACCCTAATTAAATTCATTGATCATTAAAACGAGATTCAATATTGCAATATACAATCGATGTTAATGCCAGCTTCTTATTTATATTGTGTTTGTAGATGTCGCTGTGGATGTATGTAAGGACATGCTCGCATGGCTGGACCAACATTTTTTATCATGGAGAGCAAAGGCGGTATTTTGGGCTAAAGACACAGGTCCGTGGGGGAGTTTGAGTGCAAGCACGCAAGAGTACGAAATGTGGATCACAAGGCGTCTCGAGGCTTCTTGCGGTTGTTGCATAGAAGAAAATGAAGCATTACAAGTAGTGTAATGGTTTGAGTAGCTTTGGGCCTTTGAATGTTACAAGTTTGTGTTTAGCTGACTTAAAGTTTGTTTGTAAGTAGTACCAGGATTGTTATGCCTTAGGCTTTTCTTATTTTGTTCACCCCTTTGCAAGTTGCTTGTTTGATATTATCTTTATTTTTATTTTGACTTACTTGTTCATCTCAATTCTCAAAGCTAAACCAAGACATGCTCACATGGTGTTGGATATGGTTTCTGTTTGATAGCCTTAAGTTTCAAACTGAATATGACAAACTCGTGAACTTTGATGATTATTTAAAATTATTTGAATAAATAATTATTCAAACACGAAGATGATTATTTAAAATATTTGAATCAATAATTATTCAAACACGAACAAACGTGAACTTTAACGAAAAATGAAGGAACTCAAACTTTATATTCCACTCGAATAATAAACAAATGAATACGATAGTGTTCGGACATAATTAAACACTAGCTCGAAATGCTTAAACTTGGCTCGTTTGCTTCGATTACAGTACTAATTTGATAGCCTTATCTTGAATATTGCATTAAATTTGAAACATAATTTCTCTATTGCTCAAAGTTGTTTACACTAATTGAGATATATAAGCTTTTTCCCTATGAGTCACCTCCTGAAGAGGAACTCAATTTTTTGAGCAACAAAATTAGGGGAAAAAATATTACCATAACAAAAAGTCCCTCAAATGTATTTCACGAATTCAAACTCAAGACAAGTTCACATGGTAAGGAATTCAAAATCTCTTCAGTACACAAATTTGATTCTCCCAAAATCCAAACATATTAAACTCAATCGTGAGCCTTGTGTTTCTCAGCAGACTATCCATGATCCATCAGATAGGGTTTTCCTTGAAGTTGGGATATAACTTTGTGGTTTCACCATTACTGCACTTCATGCAGCCATATTAGGTTCTCCAACTTATGATCAGTCCATATAATCAATGCATAATTAGCATTTTATCCTGCATAATTATAATTTTCTTCATATTGTAGAAACAAAATGACTGAACAACTAGCTAATTTGTTACAATGTTGCTCACAGTTTACATGAAAATTCAAAAAGAATTAACCAATGAGTTCCTCCCAAACCCAAGTTTTCTCTCGATATAATCCATTTCATAGCAAACAACATGACCACCTTCTCCTGAGCATCATAAAAGAAATAAATAAAAAACCAGATAAGTACAATAAGCCAAGTACTGAAAAGAAAAAGACCTCAGACTCCCCAAGACATATAATCTCTATAAACTGTTCTTGCACCAAACAGAAAGGCATCAGAATCTGATGTGAAGCATCCATCCAAATGATCAAAGTTAATCCAAAAATCACATGAGAGTTATTTCATGAAACAATGTCTAGTAATAGGCAAGATAAAACCATTGCTCGAAATCATAGACACATTAGAATTATTGTCTAGTTAGTTTTCCGGCTAACTCGAGCTCCCGCCAGAGCTTCTGCCGATGCCCAACGCGTCCTTGGCGGCCTTCAAAATCCCGACGTCGGGGCCGATTCGCTATCCCGGCTGTGAGATTCAACAGAGAGAGCAGCGATTTGAGGATTTCGCTATCCCGATGTCGGGTCCCGATGTAGGGTTTGATAGCCTAATAACATAGCCCTCAGATTTGATTTCGATGACAGAACCCCATCCCTATTTCCTCACAAAACCAAACTGCCAGTCTCTCAAGTATCTTTTGGCGAAGAAGGAATCAAAACCACGAGCCATACACAGAAGCGACCAATGAACAGATGATTTCTCATTGTCGGCGACCAAATACAACCCGCTGATCTAGTTTTCCACTTGATGGGTGATAGCAGATTAAAATTCGGCTGTTGCCATCAATTAATTTGCAGTTAATATAGCACCTATTTCATTTGTTTGACCATTTTCGAGTATGTAAATAAGAAGCGAAAAGAGAAGATGAAGAAGAAGCAAATCCAAATAAGATCGACCCCCAGAATAGATGAAGATCGACTGATCGAATTCATCTCAAAATCGGTTTTCTTCGAATCCTAATTGATATAAATTATCAAATAAAGAACAATTTAAAGGTGACTGGGATAATTTTGTCAGCAAAAGAAGAAAATATGAAGTTTGATTGATCGAATTCACTACAAATGCAATTTAGTGAGAAGTTTGTGATTTAATTGAAATATTTAAAGGTGTTTAGGTAAAATAATAATATAAGAATAATTAAATACCTATTATATAAATATTAGTAGTTAAATAATATATTTTATAATTTGTTTTAAGTAAGGGTAGTTTAGTATTGACACAATGTTTATTTTTATTTTTCATTTAATTAATTAAAAAATAGGACACGTGGCATCAATTTAAAGGGTACCTGATGTTAAATAGGTACGAAGTTGGTACGAGGCGAATCTGACGGTAGAATATCCCTACACTGTTACAGAAGATGTCGCGTCTTATAAAACTTTTCTGAACAGACTGAGAACAAGCGTGGCCACCAAAAAGATAAACGAAATCGACACTCTTCCGGCAGCTAGTGAAAACAAGTATGTGAGAATACATCTGAGGTTTATGGATGCGGACGAGGCAAGCTGTAATATTTTCTTGAGAGCATCAGACTTATATTTTATTGGGTATAAGAATAAAGATCACAAATTGGTAGCACTTCAACCCGATAACACGAAGACACAGGAAGTCGATGCTCAATTTTCCACCCTTCCATCACCTCCCGTACCTCCTGCACAGCCTGCACCTCCTGTTCAAATCGAAGAATTGAGCTTCGGAGGTAACTACAACAGACTTGTGACAGTTTCCAAAATCCATGGAAGGGTGGAAAATTGAACATCGACTTCCTGTGTAGCATTCCTTCCATGGATTTTGGAAACTGTCACAAGTCTGTTGTACCTCTGAAGCTCAATTCTTCGACTTGAACAGGCTGTGCAGGAGGTACGGGAGGTGGTGGAAGGGTGGAAAATTGAGCATCGACTTCCTGTGTCTTTGTGTTATCGGGTTCAAGTGCTACCAATGTGTGATCTTTATTCTCATACCCAATAAAGTATAAGTCCGATGCTCTCAAGAAAACGTGGCAGCTTACCTCGTCTGCATCCATAAACCTCAAATGTATTCTCACATACTTGTTTTCACTAGCCGCCGGAAGAGTATCGATCTCGTTTATCTTTCCGGCGGCCACGCTTGTTCTCAGTCTTTTCAGAAAAGCATTATAAGACATTTTCTATAAGAGTGTATTCCACATCAATGAACATTTTTATCTCTTTCCCCACATCTACTCCCTTCCCTTTTTTAGTTCCGGAGCCGCTAACCGTTTTTGACATACTCTGAATTTATGTAAATAAAAAAAAAAAAGACACAACACTGTATCAATTAGTCAATAGTTTCTGTATCAATTAGTCAATAGTTTCAGAAAGAAGAGCTGGTTTAATTTGGTAGTAAAAATACTTTAAAAATGAATCACCACAATAAACTTATATATATATTCATGACAGCCGAGTAACCTGGATGGATTTAAAAAAAAAAAAAACACTACATGCGACCCATCATAAGTTTCATTAACAGTAGTCATAAGTTCATAACCTTTATGATTTAGCAACAGAATAATTCAAACTATTTACTATACCAAGAGGACATAAAAGTGGAGGGTTCTCATAGTGTTTAGAAGTGTTAGAAGTTCCTCTATTCAGCTAAAGATTCTATATATATATTATTTCGTAAAATAATTTACATTTATATAGATAATACTAGTAAAACTCATTATTTTTAATAAACAAGCAAATGTGGAAACATAATAAATAATTTGAAGTACCCAAGGCTTATCAATGTGACAATATAGAGACTCATATGTGTAAGAATCACCACATAAAATTTATATGAGGCAAGTCAAAATAATTTGCATTTGTATCTCACATTGATAGTTGCACCGTCTCGACCAAAAACTTGCTCCCCGAAATGATTGAAATCTGCAATGTAAAATCATTTCAAATTAATATATATATAGATATATTTTTTTTAAATATATATATATATATATATAGATATATATATTAAATAGAATACACATTCAATGATCAAGCCCTATCTCCTCTCTCTATTTTCCCTCTCTTTTTTCCGTACGTCGATTTCTTTCCCCTTTTCTTCTTCTTCCCCACGCAAATCCCAATTCTACTTTTGTTATTTCAATTCTATCATCCTATTAAAAATTCTTACCAGGACTGACGACTGAATGGCGAACACTGAGACTGAAAGCAAGAACACCTGCGGCCTAGATTTGGTGAGGTCTAGTGGAGTACGGAGAGAGACAGCAATAGGAAGAACACGACCAGCCTAGATCTGTTGATGTCAGGTGGAGCACAGTGACAGAAAACAATCAGAAGAACACCTTCAACCTAAATCTTTGGCGTTCCGGCGACAGGTAGCAACGTCTGTGAAGGAGTCTGTGAAGGTCGCGCCGAACAACGGCCTAGATCTGTGGCATTCAGCGGCACAGAGCAGCATCTGTGAAGGTGGCGGTCAGAGGGACCAGACGATGCACCGCCCAGAAGAGGAAAACTCTGGCTAGCGGCCGGAAACGGAGGTTAGCGGCGGCTCTGGACGTAAGAGGATAAAAAAACTCCGGCTGGCTGCCGGAACGGAGGTCAGCGGCGGCTCTAAATGGTGAGAGAATGTAGAAATTCCGTCTGGCGGCCGGAATGGAGGTCAGAGGCGGTTTGGACAGTAAAAGGATGAAGAAACTCCGGCTGGCGGGCGGAACGGTGCTCTGGATGGTGATTGGAAGTTGAAAGCGTGCCTCTCTGGTGAGAGGATAAAGTTGAAAGCCTGAGTGACGATATTGTACGGTTATATGGACCTGAGTGATAAAATTGTATCGATTTTATGAAAGTTGGAGAAATTTGTGAGTATAAGCAGAGTATTTGATTTCTTTTATTTATTTATTTATTTATTTTTTTTTTGGAGGGGGTTTGAGATGCTTCAACGGAGTTTAGTATTGGAGAAGCGTAGAAAGAGGTGTACTATAGTTATCAGAAATTCTAATTTTATTTTATTTTTTTGTGAATAAATGCTTCAGAAATTCTATTTTTTTGTTTTTGTGAAATGCTACAATTTTTTTAAAAATAGATAGGCTTGTGAACTAATATAATAATAATAATAATATTTGTCATATATATATACTATAGATACAAAAGTAATATGAACTAGATAATATAATCTATAAAATACAAAAAACAATATTCCGTTGAAATACAAAATGCAAGCAAAAAGATGCACATGCACTGATGCACACTGTATTTGCATGCCAAAGAACGACTGAGGTGTAACAAATTTTTTGTACTATGAAGTGCCACGTGGCTGTTTGGCAGCATGCTACACTCTCTTTTACTCAATTCTTGTTCTATACAAGAATCAAATCTGATTATCCAAATATGGGCGAGTAAAATCGAGTCAAAAATTGAGATCGAACCAATGCGCAAATTTAAATTTTATTATCCGAATATGGATGAGTAAAATTGAGTCAAAAATTAAAATCGAACCAATGCAATTAGACATGATTTTATGTTCAATTTTTCTAATGTGGAAATATTTCAGTTCGATTTTTTTTTCTACACACGACCATGTGTGGTTATTATTTTCTGTAAATTCGGTTTTTTTTTTTCTTTTTTGTTCTATGCTAGAATGAACCATACAAAGTTAAATACAAATGCATAGAAAGATAATTAATAATCAAGCTGAACGAACATTTTTTGTTTGTATCCAGTTCAATTGTATTAGTGTGGAACAAAGTTGTGCTTTCATTGGTTTAGTACTCAACCGCCTGCCGCACTGCTGCTCACCAGAAATAGGAATATAGGACGCTATTTCAACGTTTAAAAATAAATAAATAAATAATAAAATATAATAATTAAAAAAAAAAAATGTGATGGTGATTATATTGGGATTGTGATACTTCGATTGGTGCAATTATTTTTTTGTGAATACTAGTAGCTGCAATAATCTATTCTCCGTTCTTTGTTATGTTTTTTTATTCTCAATGGTTTGTATTATGAAAATGTTTATAGATTTTTAAATGAGAAATATGAAGTTCAAATAATCATGTTCTCCAACCGTTGGAGTCCAACGTGAAATCCATATAGTGAATATATATTGACTAATCGTGTCTTTCGCATCAAAATTATTTTTTGGTATAAACAAATAATGATTTATTTTTAAAAAGGGTAAATTGCCTATAAAACTCCAACATTCTGTTTAATTGAAAAAAAAAAAAGTAAAAAACTCAACTTGTTCAACTTTGCAACTAAATACCAAACTTTTATTATGTATTGCAAGTTTGTCTCAAAATCAGTTTCTGGTCAAACATTGCTGACATGTCCGATCAGAATTTTTGACGTAACACGGATTAAGCATTGCTCCCAACAAGTATGTATGTTTATTGTTTCTTCTCGGATTTCGAAAGTGCGTTTAGTTGATTTTTAAATTCAGCAAGGGGAAGTATAAACATAAAATCTAATTACTAGATTTCCATATTATACTCCCTCCTTTTTTTAATAGATGTCGTTTTGAAAAGTTGCACACTAATTAAGAATATTTTTTTTGTCAATAATAATTGAGGATAGAGATGGATGTTTTGAAAAAAGATAAATAGTGAATATGAAAAGACGTAGTGTATTTATTAGCTAGATAAGGGTGATAATGGAAAAATATGTACAAAAGATCCAAAACGGAGAAAGAGTGTAGAAGAAGAATGAACAAAAAGCAATAAAATACTAGTATGTGTTGTGGTTGGTGGAAGAGAAAACAAATAAAATACTATGTTAGTGGGATGATGTAATAAAACATTTTAGTTTTGATTTAATTTTAACATTAGGGAGTTAGAAGGAAGAAAATTAAGGGATTAGGGAGTTGAAAGGAAGGAATAAAGGTATGAGGACTGAGGAGGAAAATGAAAAAGCACTTAGGGATTTTAGGAGAACTCACCCCGGCTTATATGGAATTATGTGGGCGGCTATTTATGGTGTATTATATGTTTATGGTATTGTGTTAGCAAATTAAATGTGATTGATTATTTAGTATTTTTGGGTCTATTAAATAATATCAAGTCTAAATATTGCTACATATTTAGAATTAAAAAAAAAAAATAGATAACAATATGTTAATATCATGATTGTGTAGTTTACCGAAATTATTTGCATCGCGATTATCAAATTTCAATACCTTAATTGTCTGTACTTGATGTATATCAACTTATGATTATGCATTTTATTGATTTCAGTTATTACAATATGTCATAATGTATTGTGTAAAGTTTAATGTGGTTTTGTCTTGCATATTTTGATCGTTTTTATTTTATTTATTTTTATAATTAATTAATTAGTGTATAAGGAATCGTGCATAGTATTGTTAAGGCAAGAGATAGTAGTTGTTTGTGTTGTTTGGTAAATAGTGAAGTTATTGGATTTTTTTTAAAAATAAACTTAGGCAAAGAGATCAATTATGATAGGTGAAGATTGTAGTTTCATTGGGAGGCAATGTAACAAACGAGTAGTTTCAACTAAACGCGTTGAGATGTCGTTTGCTTGAATGTCTCTGACTGATTACGAATGGTAAACTTTTTATTCATTAAAATATTTGATCTTTATACAAAAATAAATTTATTTTGATTAATGAAATAATATAAGTTTTATAATTATACTTATTGTTCACCTAGATTTTTAAATATATGATAAAATTTTACCAAAATATTTATTTTATGGAATCACATTGTAGTTAAATCGAATTTCAGAATAAAAATTTTAAAATAATACTTATTTTGAAATAAATATAATGTAATTTACTATCAGTTGTGTGCAACGTACATGTTCTGTACTAATTTTAAATAGACACGCTTTATGTAATTTTGCACAATATTTAAATTTCATAAATATTTTCAATAAATTATATAAGTAAATTGTATTACAAATTGATTCCATATTTTTAATTTATATATATATTATTTAACGAATATTTTTAATTTATAAAAATTGATGAATATCTCTTAACCGTGCATCGCACGGGATTCGTACTAGTTAAAGATAAATAGTTAAATTTCTTTTGATATTGTGGAAAATTACTTTTACAATTTTTGAAAAAGTAAATTGGTTGAGTAATTAATAAATCAAAAGATTTAAACTAATCCTTTTGATTCAATAATTTTTGGAATATACGATAAAAAGTATTGTGATA